TATCTTTTCCATCCACGGGAACACCCTGAGCGAGGATCCTGTCACTTCCAGAAGAATGACTGGGATAAGAGCTACAATGCTATTATCAAGAGATTACAGGATGACGCAGTAGAGGTGGCAGAGGAGTTAGAGGCTGAGGAGGCAGCAGCAGCAGCAGCAGGCCCGGCAACGGACGAAGCAGCAGTCGATCCGGCTGCCGTACATATGGATATTGATTTGGAGCGGCCTGTCGAGGACGCAAAGCAGCCCTCTCCAGTTGGGTCACCTATTAACGATGCGGAGCAGGCTCAAGATCATTATTCTTCCAATCCAGCCACACCTGAGGCTCCAGCTCAGACACCCGGTTTTGGAGAGCTTTTTCAGACTCTGGAGGACACAGTGGTATCTATCTGCGCAGAGACTGTCGCCCTCAGAGCTGACATTGTTTCCCTCCGCACGGATGTCATGGCCGCATTTCGTGATCTATCCAGAGACATTCGCGGAGCGCGACCTGCCCGTCCTACCTTTCTTCCTGATCTCTTTATCCCTTTCCTCCTATTGTTTTATATATCTGTGATCTCATCATGTTTTTGATACTGTTATACTATTTTTGCAGCCGGTCTGTCGGCTTTGATTTTATGATGTACTATGCACTTTATCCTGCTTTATATATATGTTTTCTTTATGGATTCTTATATTCTTATATCTGTCTGTTTGACTCCATCAGGTGCATCTCAATGACTTCAATGAGAAAGAGTACAGCCCAAAATTTTTAGGACCACCCTTTTACCTCTCTCTAATTTTCAGTTGCTATCCAATTTACACTTGCATGACCACTATGTACTGTATTATCCCTTTTGTTATCTGATGAGTTTTATCCAAGTGCCAAATTTCAGGACTACAGTTAATCCCAAGTTTTGGGGGGCTATGCCACCCACTTTGGATACTTCAGTCCCAGCCATTCTTTGCCTTAATTGCACTGGTATACTCTTTCCTTTTGTTCTCTTTGCACATTGAGGACACTGTGCCATTTAAGTTTGGGATTAATGATGCTTTGCAGTGTTTGTTTTTAAATTCAAAATTTTGAACATGTCTTGTGTATTTGAAAGATTTTCTATGATTGGTCCATGACTAGTTATGATTTTGATCTTTTGAGAACTATATTGCTTAAAATTTAAAAATTGCTTGACTTGAGAGTCCAATACTCCTTGTATGCCTTGTGGATGCCATTTAGGAGTAAATTTTTCGAAAAATTGATATCTTACTTACACTTGTGGTCCACATCATCCTAATTTTTTGATTATTTTGAGATTCACTTTAGTATTCTACACTAGCACAGTCGCACACTAGCATTCATTTGTAGGGTACATGCTTTGTTGACTATTGAATTGGTTATATCCCAATTAAGCTAGTAGTGCATTGAAAACTTCCATTCTTGATAAAGGTGGAAAACAACCCCTTTTCACTAAGTAGCCGGGATTCTAGCCTCATCAAGCACTGAACTTCTTGCGCCGAAAGGTAGAGGGCCCAAACTCTAGGTTAATAATTGAATTCAAAAAAAAAAAAAAAAAAAATTGCAAAAGCAATAAAAAGTGAGGACTTCTCCCGAAAGGTGAGAAGTGGTAAATGATTAGATGGAGGTTGTTTTGATTTGTAGCCTAGTTAATTTGAGCTTGTAAGTCTGTAGGGGTGTTTGAACACCTAGTGCCCTAAAGCCGTCTGGTTTGGGAGTCATTAACCTAACGCTCGACCTCATGGATCACTAGAAAGCTTAATAGATCAATACATTGCACCATGCTTCCATCTTTGATCCTAAAAAAAAAAAAAAATTCGAGTGGAAAGAATAAGCGCACCTAGAACAATAAAGCTTTAATAAAAGGTCCACTTTTTGTCTTGATGATCGGTACTAGATTTGTGTACTAGTTTGAGGGTAAGGATGTGATCATTTCTTTAGTTGGCTAAAATAGCAACACATTTTATGCCGGTCCACTCAAAAAGGATTCTAGAGTTGTTTTGATTTGCATGATCATTGTCTTGATGTTTGGAGGACCATACTTGCTTGCTTAATGTTGAAATTTTGGAAGATTGCTTAGAAATGTTTGAAAAATTGCATACTTGAGGTAGTTTTCTCCCAATGTTTGTTTGCAATATTGGTGCCTCTTTTGTGATAATGAGTTTAATGTTTATGGGTATCATTTCTGGAAACCCTCATGAGACTTCACTCGTTCACTAGGGGTAACCTAGGGGTTTAAAAGGCTTGTTGCATATGTTAAATGTAATCATGTTCCCTACGAAAGTGGTGTTATCCATATATTACTTTCTAATTCATAGTTAATTAGTTGTTCATTACATTTATTTACTTGTAGTTCATTGCTAGGGACTAGCAATCTTTAAGTTTGGGGGTGTGATAAGCGCTGAAAAGTGCGTATTTAAATCCCTTAAACTTAGGTATTCTAGAACCTTTATCTATCTTATTTTACCGTTTTGTATTGATTTCGTGTTATTTCCATTTTCAGGTACTTATCCCCAAAACAAGCTAACTCAGCCAAATAAGAGCATAATTGAAGCAATTCTAGGATGAATCAAAGAAAGGAGTAAAGTAGAGCAAAAAGGAAGCAAATGGTGGAATTTCAGCAACTTCGATCGATCTCAAGAAAAGTTCGATCGATCCAACTTTCATCGATCTTAGCACTTCGAGATGGATCTGAGCCATGTTTGTCCCTGTTCAAAGGTCTCAAAAGTTTAATTGATCCAACTTCCTTCTCCGATCGATCGAACATTCTTGTCCTTATCCAAATGATTGATCTTATCCAGTTGTACCACCCTACCAACCACTTTTGTCCTTTTCCCAAAAATATCTTCAAAATATCTCAGATTTGTTTTTATCCAAAAAGGCGCCACCATTGAGGATCGATCCAGCCTAAGTTCGATAGATCTCAGCCATGTTCGATCGATCCAAGTCCAAGATTCGATCGATCGAATTTCCTCCAGTGCGAAAAAGTTAAATTTCCAGCTCACAAAAAGTTGTCCTTTATCCAATCATTGGAGAATATTTGTTGTATGACCCCAGCTCATTTTGGGTTTTATTTGACCTACCTATATAAGGATAAGGATTACTTTTTGTATCACGTTCTATCATATCACATCATATCATATCATACCTTGTAGAACTCTTAGTAAGGAAGCAAATAAGAGGAAGAGGCTAGAGACACCATTGGAGACTTTTTATCAACCAAGGAGCAGATTTCTTCCGTGGAGCTTGCCCTTAAGGGTTGGAGAACATCATCCATGAGTGGCTAGACATTCTCTTGGGGTTAGAGTTAGCCCTAAGCATACTTTCTACTTCTTGATTTATGTATTTTTGAGGGGATTTGTATTGTGATTCATGTCTTGACACTTTTATATATATAGATCTTGTTTATTCAATGATTTATGTGGTTTAATGTTTCCAATTGATCATTTCATTCTATCCATATGTCTATGTATGCTAGAATAGATGTTCATGTGTTTGTCTCTATTTCTTGTGTTATTGATGCATGTCTATGTGTGTTGATGCTATAGATCTAGAGATTGTCAAGACATAGTGCTTAATGTCATGTTCTTGTGATTTATTTGATGGTTCATACTCATTTCTTGATAGATTGTACCTCTCCCTTAGTTTAATTAGCTTAATTTCATGCCATTAGCTTAGTTGTAGTGTAGTTGTTAAATGCGAGGACAATCCATGCTTGTTGTTGATGTTCCATACTTATGAAAAGCAAGTAACATGTATCTCTAACCTTGTGATGTGTTTGGATTGTGAGCTTAAAAAAAGGATTAATGGCTTAATTTGATATGTTGTGCTATCCACCTTGTTGTTTAGACAATATATGCTTAATTTGTCATCCATACTTGTTGAAACAACCACACACACACACTTTGTTGCAATACATGTTATTCCCCTCATTAATCATTCATTAAAGGTGTAGAAAAGTTATGCTTAGTGGTGACCTCTAAACCCCAAGATTTCTCTCTCTTTTATTCTTTCTATTGCATTATTGCTTATTTTAGTTTAATTTGCATCTAGTTTAATTCAACCAACCAATCATTATTTTGATCACTCGACCTACTAACCCTAATTTTGATTCCTCAACCTAGTACGACACTCAATCCCTTAGGACGATCCCTACTTGCCCTAACTATGTTTTTAGTGAAAGATAGTAGTGGCAATTTCTAAATGTAAAACTTAGCCACATAAGCATAAACTTTTGGAGTGCGACGACCAACACACCATCCATCTCCACCTCAATTGCCACCGTCGATTGTTGTAGATCCTTGTTGCTATCGTAGGTCGCTGACACCGCCACTATAGATCGGTGATGCCGTCACATATTTACTCAATTGGACCACCAACACAACAAAGCCCGCCGAAGGTCAACCATCACCATCTTCACCCACCACTACCACAGCTGACCACCACATCTACACAACAAAACCACCACCAGTATCCCTACCCCCACAACCACCACCGCCAAAACTCCATAACCGACGGTGATTTGGGTCTTTCCAAACACACAATTCAATTTGTGATTTAGGGATTAAATTACAAGACATTTTGGTCATTTCAAATGGGTGTTGGGAGTAGTTAAGTTATTTTATATATGAAACAAAGTCAAAAGGGTAGTATAATCATTTTACACCTAAAAAGCACTATGACATCATTAAAAACTGACATTTGGGGTGTAAGTAAAATACATAATCACTCTTTGAAATGTAAGTGAAAGTTAAAACCCATCTGGGTGAGATATGACCTAACCTCAAGAGGTGTCTATGTAACTTACCCAAAAAATACTTCGGAGAGTTATTTGCAAATTTGAACATAATTTTGAGGGTTATTTGCAATTTACCCTAATAATAATTAAGGTGCGGGAAGAAAAAGATGGATAGTACAGTCAAGGGATCGGACGGTAGCGGCTTCAAGTGATTAGAAATCTCCATAGACCCGTTTCATTTTACCTCACCTATATAATATGATACAAATATATATATATACAGACCGAGAAAGCTTTGATAGGTTTACATCGAATTTGCTTCTGTTTCCATCGGAGGAGGAAGCAGTGCAGCGGTGGAGCTGAAAAGGAAGGAAAGATGTCGGGTATGGGAGACGGGTACGTGGGCACAGCCCAAGACGCAGTGAGGATCCGGAGACTGGAGAAGCAGAGAGAAGCCGAGAGGAGAAAAATCCAAGAGCTCAAGAACAAGACCTCCTCTACCCAAGGCCAACCCGGTCTCCTCCAATTCGGTTCAAGTACCTCCGAGGTCTCTCCTTCTATCCCTATTTCTCCACCTTTCTCGCGGTTTCTTTCTTATTTTCTCTTCTATACATAAGCATTATGTATACATACACTTATATATATGTATATGCCTTTAAGTTTGGTTGCTGAGAAAATTGCTTGAATCATGTTACCATGTATAATATGTGGGGTTAGTTTCTGAAAGTAAACACACTAACTATATATATATGCCTTTAAGTTTGGTTGCTGCGAAATTGGCTTGAATTATGTATAATATGGGGTGTTAATTACTGAAAGTAAAAACCCTAACTCAACCAAGCAGATTACAATTGTATTGTATTCCAAACAATGAAAAGATGGCAAAGTTTTTATTTTTTATTTGTTCATTTCGTTCAATTTTCTTAGCTGCTGAACAGAGCTTTATTACCAATGGGCATTAGCTTGGATGATTTGATCTCTCCTCCCAAAGCAGATTACAATTGTATTGTATAATATGCTAGAGGCAATAATTTATGGGTGTGTGTGCTTGCTTGAACTTTCGGGGAAAAAAAATAAAGTAGAGAGCTTTATTGCATTGAGAATGAGATTTATTTACTTATTCATTATTATGCAATTGAGTATATATTGTCAATATGTCTAATGACTGAATGCATTATTCAGATTCTCGAGACTGCGTTTAAGAAGGAAACTGTTGGTCTTGTTACTAGGGAGCAATATGTTGAGAAGGTAATGTGTTGTTTTGCTTGATGAGCATTTTATTTGTTTAGAAGTTGAACTTGTTGGTGGTCAATAAAGGAGGTTCTTGTTGATGTATGTACCTTAGAGGGTCAATATCCGGACCAAATTTGAAGAAGAAGAGAAGGAAAAACTTCAGAAGCTGCAACAAGAGTGAGTAAAATCATAGCCTCTAAATTCTGTGATGTTAATCAGTCTCTCTTTGGTATTTTTGTTGACTTTTTTCCCCCTTTGTTCATTATGTTGCAGGGAGGAGGAGCTTCAATTACAAAAGCGTAAAAAGCGGAAAATAAAGGGGAACCCCCGATTGTCTTTTTCTGAAGACTTTGAAAATGGAACAGATGAGGAGGAGGAGGAGGAGGAGGATGAAAACAGTGAGTATAATTTTGCTAATGCAAGGTTGAACTTTTATTTTGTTAGTACTACCATTTGTTAATGGAAGTTGTTTAATTTAATAAATTGTCTATGGGCTATATGATTGTAATTAGACTATTGTAGCTTGTTTGGCTGTATGATTGTTTATTATGCGACGTCTTCTTGTACATCTACAGGAACATGTTGTTTAAAATAAATGGTGGCATTCAAGTTGAATCAAGAGTAAATTCATAATAAGTGAACTCAAATTTTTGTAAAACATAATTGTTTTTCATTCAAACATGTGCACAAATAGAAAATAATGCAATAATCAGAATTAAGTCTTTGTTGCTTGAACCCATGATTGAGTACTCTTCTTTATATCATAATTTCAATATATCAAACAGAAAAGGAAGTTATAAATAAAAGACTTTCGAACTTGGAATGTTTAAAATCTGTAGCATTGGGAATCTCTGTCATCATTTTTTATTTTATTTTTTTCCCTTCTCAAATACATATTCCATTCAAGCATGATTAGATCAAATTTAACTAGTGTCTGAGAATAAAATTATTCATCTTCTTTTACGCTAGGAATGTTTTTTATTTTTTATTTTTTATAATTAAGCTCTATTAAAAAAAAAAAAAAAAAAAAAAAAAAAAAGGGCTAACCAAGCCAAACAAAAGCACAAACAAAAATATCCAGTATCAATAGGGACACGAGTCATAACATTATAGGACTGATTTGCTTGCTATCATGGACTGTTTTATTTATCCTGTATTGCCCACTATGTGCTTCTTTTTCATCCTTTACAATTTTGCACTAATGGAATATTTGAGGAAGCATGTTAATAAGGTCTTTTCATAGGGATTTCTATCAAAATGAGAAAACTTCTTCAATCCATAAGATCTTCCCTTCACCACCCTTATGCATGGCCAACTTTGAACTATTCCATTTCAACATTCTCTCTTCATTATGGTAGCTTAACTGACAAATGAATTGTTGAATGGGATTGGTTGTATACTTAGAATCCCATGGATGTGATAATAAATATTAAAACTCCTAGCCTAGAGCACTAATATTTAGAATTTTTCCACATCCATAAGTTTGGACTACTAATATTTTTCGTTTGAACTTATCAAAATATATATATATATATATATATATATATATATATATATATATATATATATATATATATATATTCTTCGTTTGAATCAAATAGACTCATACTTTCGCCTATAAACAGTATAATTATTTCTTTGAGCATGTATGGAATGAGCTGAAATATGTGAAAAATGACATGACATGCATTTCTTGGTCAATATTCCACTTTTTGATGTTGTGTTTCTTCATTCTATTTATCTAGGTACCTCAAATTTCAGGTTTTGACATTCATAGGTAGTTAGGATTATTATTAAGGAAGTAATACATGTAGTAGGATGGTGTAAGGTTTTTAAGGAGATCAGGTTTTGGTCCTTTTGGGTGAGTGATACTGAGTTGATCAGTAATTCAATATACACAAGGTAACACATACAGGTGAGTATGCCATGCGCACAACACATACATATACGTAAATATATATGTGTGTGTGTGTGACATCAAGATGGCACTGACAGGCATTAGTCGTGGAACTGTTTTCTTGGTAAATAAGGCTGATTGTCCATGTAATCTAGTTTGACTAGCTCAACTCTAGCCCTTTGGCACTGTTCCTAAGTTTCCAACAATATCTTGATGTCACATTGCTTGTGCTCAAGGAGCTCCTTTGTCAAGAAGCACCTACATTAGGATGCATGAACCAAGAGTGCGTTTGATACTTTGATTTGGAGGGAAGGGCCAGCAAAGATCCATTTGTTAGTACAGAGGGCCCTCCACATGTCTCTCTCAGAAGGAACCAACATGTTTGAGGTTGTGGCTAATAAGTGAGGTTATGTGTGATCATAACATAGAGACACATCACACACAAAGATCATGCTACTGGAAGGCCTACCAGTGATACCACAATTGAATGAGTTTCGACAAGTGGAATTGTTTTTTTTTCTAGGGGGTGGGGGTGCGGAGTTGGTTGTTGGGGATTACTATGCCTTGGTGTTTCGCTTTAAAAGGGTATGGATAAAAAAGCTAATTTATGTTCTCTGTTTGTTTTGGAAAATCTCGATATGAAGTTGAGGGACATGTTTGTTTTCAAATGCGTTGTTTCTTGGTAGCATGCTAAATATGGAAAAAAAATTTCCTAGTTGGACTCACACACACGTCTCTTCTCGGACTTGAACCCCCGACCTCCCTTTGGGAAGTAAGAAGCCGATACCACTAGGCCACTGGCCATTGGTGCTAAATATGGAAATTCTCTATTAATATAGTATTTTGTTCAACTAAAAAATTGTAGGCCTTATTTTATATGGTATTTATTTGCTGGTTCTTTTCTTCCTATACTCTATGTTACATGGACTTGGGTATGTGTGTCAGGTACAGGTATGTATCCATGCATCTGACGTGTCAAATCTCCAAATAAGACACATGAACACTACTAAATGTTCATTTTTTAAAATTATTTTATTGGCCCAATGGCAGTGAACTCTCTCTTCCTCCCCCTCCCCCTGAAAAAAAAAAAAAAAAAAAAAAAAAAAAAAAAAAAAAAATCAATTAATCAACCGTTGCAACTTACTCCCCTCTAAGCAGACATCTGTTAAATTTGAGCTGACGTGCAACTTGCTTGGACGTGAATACCCTCAACCCTTCGTCATTTATTCAATCACACCACCAGACGACAATAAAGGGTTGGAAGCAACATCATATATATGTTTATATAAAGAGAGAGAGAGAGAGAGGTTAGATAAGGAAAACAACGTAATTGAAGAGATCAAAACTACTCGCACTCAATAACAACTTTTTTGTCCAAAGAGGGCTTGGTGGTTCTGAATCGAATTCGCTTCGGTTGGGTTTGTTGGGTCACTTTGGGTCCATGGGTTCGAGCTGGGCTCGGACCTGAGTGGCGATTCTGAGCTCTTGATCCACGTCCAAAACATTGTTTCTCCAGCTAGGTTCTGCCGCCGCTGACCCACCATGAATGAGTAGGCATTCTTGAGTACTACTGTACAAACGGGTTCAGTGTTCGTCGTAGGTTGGCTCAGTGCTAGGCTGAGAAGGAGCTAGTTTGAGTTGGTAAGGTTGATGCGATGGGTTCTCTAGGAAGTGTAGGAACAGTCAAGTAAGGTTGGTACGTATACGAGTTTCAGGAGTTGATGACACGAGAGTCTCAAAAGGAGGTTTCTACAACAGCCCCAACTAGTCTGCCTGACTCGTTCCAATAAGATGACTAGCTTTTCATCTGAACTATATATGTGTATTGTCTTTTCAACAAAATGAAAACAAATTCACCAGGCAGGCACCAGCACGAGCACACACCCCCATCAGATATTGCTAATAATAAGGCAAACACTTGGTAGATACCATCTTTAGGATATGCTTCCATGCCTTGCTGCTAATCTGTTTATCATTGTTACCCATTAATTGCTTTGTTTTTGGCCGTTGCACTGGTGGATTTTTTTTTTTGTGTGTGTGTGTGTGTGTTTGTGTTCGGTACAGGATGGGATTTAATTCGTCCCGCCCTCTCTCTAATTGGTTTTTTGCCTTCTTTAATTCTATACACTTGCTTACTGATTGGATGGGGAAAAAAAAAAGCATCAAGAAGAAGAGAGATAGATGCTACTGCAGCAGAATGTTGATGTTTGAGATTCCTGAGAGTTTGGATAACATATAATTGCTTTGAGGGACGAAATTGAATGAACTATGGCTAGTTATGTAATTTTATAGATATTCTTCACGGCAGTTAATCCCTCAGCCAGCAAAAGGGGTAATTTGCCACATTTAGTAAATTGAGGGTGTTTATTGCCTCAAAAAAAAAGTAGAGGGGGTATTGTGCAACTTTTGTGAAACACCTAGGCGGGGGGGGGGGGGGGGGGGGGGGGGGGGGTGGTGTTAGTGCCATTAGGCCTATTTTATTTTATTTTCTACACTGAAGTAATGTTTTATGAAACATAGTGTTCAATATACGCATTTAACTCATTATATGGTAATAATATAATCAAATTGAATGCTTTTTTAACTCCATGTCCAAACAAAAGTGTTGGACACATCCCATACCCATGTCCAAGCAATAAGTGTCTGACACGGGTACTTAACTAGTTGTAGTCTGTAGAGAGTCTATGTAACATAGTCTATACTAACATACCAGTTCATCTTTTTTCTTTGCAGAAAGTAAAGAATCAAAGAGGTTTGGGAACATAAAATTTGGCAAGGATCCAACTGTAGAAACTAGTTTTTTGCCTGACAGGTGTGGCATCTCTCTCTCTCTCACATGCGTGCGTGCACGCACACACACACACAAACAGACGGACACTTGCATCTAGTTTGAGCTTAATATTAATATTAATGCTTGGGGGTGTGAAGCATACTCCTTCAGTGAAAGAGAGGCGGAGGAACAAGCTGAGCGTGAAAGGCTGCGGAAACAGTGGCAACGTGAGCAGGAACAGATCCGAAGTAATTCTACGTGCTATTTTTGTTTTATTCCATGTGATGTATGAAAGAAATATATGTCCTTAATCAGGTGTTTGTTGTATTTTTTAGACGAGCCTCTTGAAATCACTTACAGTTACTGGGATGGAGCTGGTCATAGGCGAGTAATCCAGGTTAGTAATGGGTAACTTCCTTTGTTCATTTTCTATTCCTCTCCCTTCCCCACTCTCCCTAATATATTTTTTTTTCTTGGATTTTCTGGTTTCCTTTTCCTTTTTCTTTTTTTTAAAGGTTCGCAAAGGTGACACCATAGGAGATTTTGTTCGGGCTGTTCAGCAGCAACTTGCACCTGAATTTCGAGAGATTCGAACAACTTCTGTGGAGAATCTGCTTTATGTGAAAGAAGATCTTATCATTCCTCATGTGAGATGATTTTAATACCTTTACTGCAGTCTTTGTGCTTGCTGTGTTGGAAATGTGTAACTAATAAATCATTTCTATATGATAATCATGGAATTTCAGCAACACAGTTTCTATGAGCTGATTGTCAACAAGGCTAGGGGGAAAAGTGGGCCGGTAATTCTCAATTTCATGACCTCCCTTTTGTAAGAATTGCGTAATAATTTTTAGGCTATTGTTATGAATGTGCCAGTTGGTTCCCAAGTAGATGTAACATATCAGTTGTTTGATTACTAATAAAATTAAAATGTCTGTACAATCTTATATCTTTTGCTTTTGATATACATGCTCATGTTTTCTTGTTTTGACCAGCTTTTCCACTTTGATGTACACGAGGATGTGCGCACAATTGCTGATGCAACAATTGAGAAAGATGAGGTATGCTTTCCAAATTTAATTTAATATTCTTCTTGCAGACTCCTGTGCATGTTGGAAAAATTAAGATTTTAAATTAAAAAGTCTTGTATGTGTGTTGGAAAAGTAAGGAAAAGTAAGGATTTTAAAATTAAGAAGTCTTGAGTATGGAAGTACCTAAAGTTGACTTCATGGTATGGGATGACAAATGAATTTCTTTATTTCTTGAATACCACTTGCAAAAGCGAATTTTTTTTTTGTCAGGTGAATTGTTCAAGGGGAAATATTTCAATTTCTTCTTTGTCGGCTCCCCTCCCCCGCCAAAAAACAAAAAAACAAACCATAGGGAGGCCACATGCTTAAATATGCTCTACTGTCCACGTGTTATTTAAAAACCTCAAACTATTTGCATATATGAACTTTGCAACTTGGATGTGTTCATTTCAGAGCCTCATTGATGAAGCATGGTCTCTAAAACACCTGACTAAAAGAATGTTGGAAGATTATCAGTAAGAAATCTTAAATCATGTAATGAATTTGGATCATACTTGAACATTGAGACTTTGGTATGTAAGTTTATACTACTAAAAAAATGCCTGAAATATCACTGTTCAGAAACTAGATTGATGGATTAAAATGGCTCTATCCCTTGAAGAAAAATGGCATTAGCTTTCTCGCCCCTATCTCTAAAGGGCAGAATGGGCCCTTACTCGGCCTAGGGGCTAGTGCAGTTTGATGAACTGGCAAAAAGGAAGTATGATATCAGTTTACCTTGCTTAGATCCCCAGATAGTAACATAGGCCTAGGTGATGCCAGTCGCAGAGGTAGGCGCATTCATCTAGTGCCAATACATTGCGAGATCCTTTAGTATTTGGTATTTGATCTTCTACAAAGAATCTATGTTGGAAGAAATAAGGTGTTTTAACATTTGTGTGTGTGCTTGACTGTATTGTTACACACAATCATACTGGATAATCATTTATTCTTCCATTTGTGAACAGTCACATGCTGGTAAAGTTGTTGAGAGGCACTGGTATGAAAAAAACAAGCATATCTTCCCTGCTTCAAGATGGGAGGTACTCTCTCTCTCTCTCTCTCTCTGGGTGAATTTTTGTGTGCGTGTGACTACATTACTTCATGAAAATTTTGGCTTCAGAGTTCAGACGATTTACGGTCTCCTTTTCCTTTTTCCCCCCCTTCCGAAATTATTGCAGATATATGACCCTACAAAGAAGTGGGAAAGATACACCATCCATGGGGATTGATTAGCAGAGGCAAAATTTGGGATGCTTTGTTGTTGCTACTTGATGAGCTTAAACCGATTTCATCTTTAGCTAGTTGGACAATTGTAGTCTCTATGCATTCTTATGCTCATTCTTAGATGTCGAGTATAAGAGTTTGATACTGAAAATGGTTTATATGTGTGGTTTTTAGCACAACGATTAATGAATACTAGAGAAATATTGGACGCAATTGTGTTTGGAGCAACCTCGTTGCTAAAATTGGGTCTTTTTTGGTGTTCTAGTCATGTTTGTCTGGTTAGCTGTGACTTGTTTTTTCCCCTCCTAATACTCTGCTTGGGTGGAACATAAATCAGACAAGGCATTTTTAATCATCTCATAATTTGTTCGGTTTAATTGTGGTAAATCTGTATTTTTTCTTTTTCGTTTTTTTTTTTTTTGCCCTTTCATCATAGAAGTGCTACTTTTTTTTCCCTTTTCTTTTTTCCCCTTTCATCATAGTTGAGCAAGAAGGGAACATTTGGAACTTTGAAGTCATCTTTACTAGAAAATGCTCTATAAACACTTTTGTATTTGTGTATAAAGGCCTATGAACAGGTATGTATGAAAAGTAGTATAAATGAATATATATATGTGTGTGTGTGTGTGTGTTTATGAGGGATTGGAGTTCTGTCCAGTCATTTCACAAGATGGTAGATTGGTTCATTTCTAGAACTTTACGGGTTAATCATCTGTAGAGGTTGATCAAAGTGTTTTTTTTTTTTTTTTGGGTGCTTTGCTCATTTTCCATTAGTTTTTCATTTCCTTATTTTGTTTTCTGGCTTTTGGAAATGGTTCTCTCTGTTGTATTCTTGTTGCTGTTGTTTTAATGAAAGTTTGCTTAGGACAAAAATTATAGATAGATCTCTATAATTTGTTTTACATATTTATATATGGACATATAAGTTTGTTATACATATCTTATAAGAGCAGTCATAGTTTTGAAGTGTGTGTGTGTGTGTTTATATACTTGGGGCATATGACATCTAAAGTGAGTATTTATAAAATGACTAAAGGAATAAGTTTCTTAAATCATTTGTAGGTGTTGCAGTTACTTCCATCTTAATTTTTTATTTTTATTTTTAGAATAAATAGGAACTTCTTCTATAGACCGGTTTTTCTTCTTAATTTTTTCTTTATCTCGAATTCTAAAATGAGTATTTACTGCCAATTGTTTTCTTTAATTGCATATATATTTGCTGCCCTAATAAGGCTTGTTTAGTAATCTTCTCCAATTTCAAATTTCAAATTGAAGTTTAATATAGGGAAAAGTACCCTTAGGTTAGTTTTAGGAGTCCCAAATAATAAAGTTGTAGACTTAGAAGTATACCTTTTTACTTAAAAAGTTGTAAAGTCCTTTTTACTTAATTGACTTGGGCAAAATAATTACACACAGATTAAAACGGTGAAAGAAATTAGGTTTTAAAATATGTACTAATTTTAAAGCAGTGGTACTATATATATATATTTTTAATTATTATTTTTTAAAAACACTCCATTTTTAATACATTAACTCAACTAAACGGTTTGAACTTGATGTTCTCTTTTCTTTTTTCGCTAAACCACTTTAATCCACATAAAATATAATTTATAATTAGGATAATTACACTGACTTTCTCTATAGAAAGGCTTATTTACATAACCCTCCTCTATGTTTTGAGAACTAACACTTATATTACATGTTGTCGAAACTTATGAAATGACATTATTACCTATGTACTTTTATGTATTAATTAATTTTAAAAACATTCTCTTTAAATATTTATTTCATTTTGTTTCCAAACTCTTTCAAGCTTTTTATGTTCATTTTCAACTAATAGCACTATAACTATCAGGTTTAACTTAATTAATACTTTCTATATACAAGGACTATAATATCCTTTACCATAACATTCACCTACCTAATCCACTATGGATATGGTCCAGTGGTTTACTCGCTGAACTTTAGGACTTGGTAAACATAAGGTGTCGAGTTCGAGTCCCACTGGGTGTTCTTTATAAGTAGTCTCTACTACCCTTACATTGACTTATCCCGCGCAGGTGGAGAGACGCCCTTTCGAATCCTCGGAGATTAGTCGAGTTGTTGAGGGGCCCTAAGGGTTTGTGTCATCCTGGACACTCCGAGTTAATAATAATAATAAATAATAATAATAACAATAAAACCATTCATCTACCTAATTGACTTGTATAGACCAAAGGTCTTGTGCTCCAGTGATATCGTTTCTACCTTCTAAAAGTGGATAGTGAAGATTTTAATTTCCAAATGAGCAAAATGAGTACATAAGTAGTGTGTGTAAGTTTCTTGCCAATAAATAAATAAAATGACTTGAATAGCTATTGCCTATAAATAAGCCCCCTTATATAGTACAGTTTTATGTAATACAATTATACAATATACACACAATTTCTCCATTTCTTTCTAACGTACCCTACCTAATCTTTATTTATTTAAATTTTTTTTTCTTCTAATTATTGACAAGAAACTCACACATTCACTTTAGGAGATATAAGAGATACTACTAGGCCACAAGACCTTTGATACTTATCTTTATTTATTAATTAACTTTATTTTGCAGACTTTAAGATACTACCAGGCCACAAGGGCCCTTGGTACTTATCTTTATTTATTAACTAACTTTATTTTGACTTTAAGATATTGCTAGGCCACAAGGCCCTTGGTACTTATCTTTATTTATTAACTAACTTTATTTTGCAGACTTCAAATTATTCACGGACAATACTTAGGTTTAATGTTCATTGTCCTCACCACTAATATGAACCAATAAAAAATGAATACGTTTTCTTTAATTGTCAAATTAAATATGGCGAGTTACATACTCACTTACCAAAACATAAATGGTGGGTACATATAGATATAGATATAGATATAGATATATTAGATAAGATACAATTGATATGTATTTGGATTGAAATAGTGTTCCAACAGAACAACTGGAGAGATAACTTGGAGTCCAGTAGAATAGAAATTGTTATTTAAAATTCAATAGAAAAGAAAGAAATTATTTTACACGATTAAGTTGTTGGTAAAATAGGAAAAAAGTTCTCTCTCTTCAGGGGAAAATATATTTTTCTGTGTTTTATATTAGAAAATTTTTGGGGAAAAATAGACAAGAAATTATATTTTTCATTATTTTTAATTATTTATTTATTTATTAATTTTTTCGACTGTCCAAACTCTAAAAAAAAATTAAAATTCTCTTTCTTTTCTATTTTGGTTGATTCCCTATACTTTTTCCACATAGAAGTCATTGTTATCCTAGCTGTGTATAGTATATCCAAATTTTGAACTTTTGTGTCAACTAGACTTTTACTTCGACTAATATTTTTTCATAAAAATAATATTCTTGCATTATCGATGATCCTTGAAACAGAATTTTGAATTAGAGACCATGTGTTTCTCTAATTCAAATGAGTTTCTCTAATTCAAGCAACTTGAGATTAATGAAATCTAATGAAATTGATTTTATATTTGATTTAAGAATTGACACAATTTAAAAAAAATGAATCTGTAGTTTTTACTTCTAAATTCTATTTGTTTCCTTAATTTAGTAAAAAAATATATATGTTTTTCTTAATCCATCCCCCTTAAGAAACAAATTAAAATATTAATAATGTTAAAATATTAATAATTTTTTGAAAAATGATAAAAAAAAACTTAAAATAGGGGAAAAAAAAATATGAGTATATAGTTACTTTCTCCGGTATTTCTTTTGTTTTCATTTTTTTGTGATAAATAAAAAATTAGTTGAAAAAATAAAAAATAAAAAATTAGTTTTTCATATTACAATAGAAAATGCGTATACATTACAATTTTGCAAAAATAGAAATAATAAAATAAATAAATACATTAACAATATTCATCATACTTGAAAGAAGGCGTTTGGTTCCGCATCCTCTAAAATTCCTACTCTGACATTTGCTGACCTGGCAAGGGCCATCCAATCCTCGTTCCCAAACACATCTCGTTCCCATCTTTGACTTTGGTAGAAGAGCATTAAGCAAAATCAAAGCTCGGCTTTTCATTTTACCCGAGCGCCGGATAGTATCTTCTCTCGTCGTCTTCGTTTTCGTCCTCGCGCTCTCTCTCTCTCTCTAGAAATGAAGATTAGGGTTTTCTTCTTTCTCTCTCTCCTCCTCCTCCTCACCGCTCCCTTCCTCCAAGGTTCGCATCTAAGATCTAGATCCATTATATACTCAAATTTCATATATAGTCTGTTTCGATGAGATTAGTGTTATATATATATACACACACACACACACAGTCGTTACATGAATATTCCATAATTAAAATGTTTACAGTTTCTTACTTGCATCTTCATTAATATCCTGTTGATCTATCGAAATGAGATCTGATTCTATTAGGTTTGATACTCCTTCGTGCAAAATATGTTAATCTGTTTCATTTTGATTATTGTTTGTAATTAATGGTGGATTTTTGTTGTTGTTTGGTATGGTTTCATTCAAATTCTGATGCATGCATGTTTGAAATATCCGCATGGATTTGATTTAGATTGGAAATGCTTGCGGCTCTTATGGATCAGTTTTTTGCGTTCATGATATTATCTTAAAAAGTATGTGTGTTTTGTCACTTGGAAGTACTTTTTTTTTTTTTTTTTTTTTCGCTTTTTGAGCCAAAGTTTAAAGAATTTTTGCCCATAAAGGCTAAATAGGTTGAATGAAATAGATTGTTGACTTAGTACTTACTAGACGGCAGTCATGTTGCCATATTATTCTGTAGATACTGGTTGTTCTTTGATTAATTGTACTCTGACTTGATGGTTTCTGGGTTTTATTTGGATTAGTGAAACTTTTGTTCCTTTTTGGTGTAAATTTTCTTTTAATAATTGTTCTCTGACTTTGGTACTGGACATACTGCATATGACTCTGTTATTTTCTAGGTTATAAAGTTATTCTTGATATTGTCCTGGAAATCTACTTAACTTTTTTGAATAATTGTTTTTTGATTTAATTGTTTCGGGATGATGGTCAATTTTATTGATGTTGGAAAGGCTGCACAATTTTTTTAAATTCATTATTGTGTTGCTTAATAGTTGCTCAGTGTGATTCCGACGCCGACTCGGACGTGGAAGGTGCAGAAGCTGCTGCAGAAGTTAGTGATCTTGGTATTATTGGTGAGGATGCTCAAGATTTTGGTGATGGGAATTACAGTCCAGCTCCAGGAATAGAAACAGTTTGTTTTTTCCCAAAAAATCCTGGACGAGGTCAGAATCTTATCTATTATAGAAATATAGTTTTTTTCTTAGTTTTTCCCTAAGATTCTGTTGTTTCCTTTTTTAAATTTACCTTTGAAAGATGTGTATTCAGTTGGTTTCTTTCTTTTGCAGTGATAGCTGCAGGAGAAGAGAGTGAACTATTAGTTGGAATAAAAAATGAGGGTAATGTTTTGCTTTTTGGTAGCCATTAGTTGTTGATTTTTTTTTTTTTCATTGTTTTTCTTTTCTTTAGGTATTAATGTTATTGATGTGTTGGTTTTGCTTATAAAGTTTCATATTTTTTTTCTTAATGTGGTTGTGCTAACTGCACACATCTTTGAGATTTATTAAGTTTTTATTTTTCCGTCGTTGCTTCTTAGCCTTCTCTGTATAGTGTTATCGAGTACCTAAACAGCTTAACTCACTTACTGCTTTTGAATGAATAAAACAGGTGAATTAGGTGTCAATGTCATTGCAATTAAGGCCACTGTTCATCTTCCTTATGATCACCGAATGCTGGTCCAAAATCTTTCTGCACAGGTAATTATTGGTTTAGTAGCATTTATGTTGATGGTTATATGTTCTTGATCTCTAAATAAGCGACTATGCTTTGCAAAATTGACTATTTCATATGTAGCTTGTCTTTCTTTCTATCTACCTGGTTGTCTTACCTAACTTTGGGGGTTGCCTGATTGTTTCATATTTTTGTTCCAAGTACTTTGACAAATGCCAACAGAATTTTTGAAAGCATTTGGTTTAGATTTACTTGGCTGTAAAATAATACTAACATATTAGGACTCATGTGCAATTGTGTGGTCCAGTTCTCATTGATTGAATGTTTAGAGACAAGTTCTAACTAGTGTAAGAGGGTGCTGTAAACTATTTCTCTCTTATGTTAAGAAGGTATTCTGATTGAATCACCATATTCCTTGCCTTTATCTTGATTGAATGGGTTTGGCTACATTTTTTTCGTCTCGATGGTGTGCGTGATAGCACCAAAAACACACAAAAAGATGGGTCTTTCTCATTATAATTTGGTCAGGTAACATATTGCATAAAGTTCATGGAAGTTCGTGCATTACCAAATTGTTTGGCTGTACCATTGGCCGTAAGAATGTTAATGGAAGACTTAACATATGCTTCAGAATTGTTGAGCTTTCTCAATTTATTTTGTGACTCATTTTAAATGGCTAAGGGTGGCCGATCTGCAATCAAAATAACGCAGCTGAAATAAAGCTTTTGGGCTGCAGCTGCTAATAAGATGACACTAGATTCTTTCGCTTTGTTGGAGGGACAAATTGATAATCCATAATTGGAGAGGGTGGAATTGATTGACCCCTCTAAATAGACAATATGTCAACCTGTCCAAGCAATACGCTTGATTGCTTGGTGGGAGGGGTCTAGCTCATCCAGTAACACAAAAGTGTAGATCAGATTACAAAAAGAACTCCATCTCCCTTTTATCATTCCCTTATTCAATATTTACAGTTTGTACAATAAACAAGATGCTTGAACCATCTAGTTGTTAAAGGTGACCACTTGGGCTCCAAAAAAAAGCCCAGGCTCAAGGCTCAGCCGGAGCGGCACCTCAACCTACTACAGGTTAGGCCCCTTCAGTGAGGCTAACAAAAGTGGGCCTCGTATTTTTTAATCAATACATTGTTTTCTTTTTCTTTTGTAAATGACTATGAATTACATACTTTATGTTGCATCATTCTCATATTTGGTGGATCATATTGTTTAATTTTTATTGTACATTTGGAATTCATGGGCTAATGATTATGTACTTACATTAATTGCGTCTAGTTCTTGATTCTAAATATATATGACAATAATACATATGTTTAAAATCTACTACAGCAACTACCAAGCATCTCCCAAATGTGATAATTTATAATTCTATCCTTTCTAGTTATGTTCGTATTGGTCATTTCTAATTCTATGATTTGATTTATGCACATTGGTTTACCCTCCAAGTTTACATGTCAAGTTCCATTTATAAAGAAGTTTTGATCAGCTGTATTACATATCTGAATTGTTATGCATGTGCATTGATTTAGTTGAATTAATATGTAAATGAAAAAAGATATATATATAGATGTATAGTATATACTGATTTAGCTGATCTGTTGAATTAATATGCTGAATAATTGCCTTATTCTGATCTTGATTAGTTTGTGTTGCATATTATATTTTATTTTTTGTATTCTTAAATTTAATATTCATTTCTATTACACACATGCCTTACTTTAATTAGGCTCATGCTTTAAGTTGTGCATTGTGCTTAGGCTCTAGGAGACCTTGGCGCCTTTCTGCGCTTTGAGCCTTTAATCACTATAAGCTAGATGTACATATTTCCCAAGAAATAGATAGTGCTTTATATTTAAGAACATAAAAGTAACAACACTTGAAATAGATAGTGCATAAATAATTAATTATATACAAAATAAAACTAATAAACTTTTCAAGGGAAAAAAATTGGAGACTCAATACATTATAGTTGATTGTGACTCTATTAGCTAGCTTGTACTTGGGCTCAATATCTGCATGGGCATATAATACAGTTGGTCAGTCTGGGTGTTCATCCTTGAACTTTGACTATGGGTCTCAAAATAGTATGTATTTTTAATTTGTTTGGCCTTCTTGATCTTCATAAATGAATCTTTTAATCTCAACTATAACCAACTATAATCAATCTTTTAACATCTGTCCAATTAATCCTGTGTAAATCGACCTACAATCAACCTTTGGATGCACCATATAGGAATTGAGTTGAAGCAAGTAAAATGGACCATCGTAGTGGTGATTGACTTGAAATTTCTTAAAGAAATAATTGTAAGTATATGGTACCATGTTCTTTCACTTTGAAATTCAACAGAAGACTAATATACTTCTAATTTGCTTTTCATCTTGCTGGGAATTGATCTGAAGCAGGATTCCTTTTTTTTTTTTTTTTTTTTTTTTTTTGGGGAAAATTTTAGAGCAATCTTTTTTTGATAAGCATATTTTTGAGAAATCTTTTATCTCAATTCTCATAGGAATTTGGCAATTAAGATATAAAAGGACACTTCTGATTCCATATTTACAAAAGAGTTGATTGATTCAGCAAACGGGCAATTTTTCATCAAAAACTTGTTATCTACTCCGATAAGTGAAGTGCCTAGAATAGTCTATTTATTGTGAATGAGACTACTCAGGCCCTAAAGTTGCTTTATTAGGAAGACCTACTCTAATGCCAACTGTGCTTTCCATGATGCAGTTGTTGAGTTTAGGTTCAGTCAAAGGAGGCGTGTTAGCTTTTGTAGGTCAAAAGAACTAGCGAGCCCAAGTTCATTCCTTTCTCCTTAAAGATTTGTGATCAACCTGTATTTATTAAGTTTTTTAAAAGTTGAATGGTCTTATTTGTGGGAGATCTTATATGGAGTCTTTTTGAAATGCTATTATTTCAAGTATTTTGGAGATCGACCAATATATTTCAATGGAACTAAGTGAATATCCAGGTTTAATGCGTCTCTTACTATGCACCAATTATATATGTATGTGTCTTTATATATATACATATAGAATTTATAGCATGTATGGCATTGCCTTTGTGTAAAGTAAAATTATTTGCAATTTGGAAATTTGGTTAAACTTGTGTTTGGTAACAAAATGAAGTGTTTTTATATAGTAGAGATATTTTATCCAATTGATATTTTAGCTAAAGCTCAAATTTGTAGCTTTTCAAACTGCGTTAGCTGTCTAGGTACCAAAATTGAAGGCAACTATTTTCTACGGACAAGTTTAGGTTCAGTCAAAGAAGGCGTGTTAGCTTTTGTAGGTCCAAAAGAACTAGTGAGCCCAAGTTCATTCCTTTCTTTTTAAAGATTTGTGGTCAACCTATAGTTATTAAGTTTTAAAAAGTTAAATGGTCTTATTTGTGGGAGATCTTATATGGAGTCTTTTTGAAATGCTATTATTTCAAGATTTTGGAGATCAAGCAATATATTTTGATGAAACTAAGTAAATATCCAGGTTTAATGCGTCTCTTACTTTGTACCAATTATATATGTATGTGTCTTTATATATACATACAGAATTTATAGCATGTATGGCGTTGCCTTTGTGTAAAGTAAAAGTGTTTACAATTTGGAAATTTGCTTAAACTTGTGTTCGGTAGCAAAATGAAGTGTTTTTAAATGGTAGAGATTTTGATCCAATTGAGCTTTTAGCTAAAGCTCAAATGTGTAGCTTTTCAAACTGCATTACTGTCTAGGTACCAAAATTGAAGGTAACTATTTTCTATGGACAAGTTTAGGTTCAGTCAAAGGAGGCGTGTTAGCTCTTGTAGGTCCAAAAGAACTAGTGAGCCCAAGTTCATTCCTTTCTCATTAAAGATTTGTAGTCAACCTATATTTATTAAGTTTTAAAAAAGTTAAATGGTCTTATGGGAGATCTTATATGGAGTCTTTTTGAAATGCTATTATTTCAAGTATTTTGGAGATCAAGCAATATATTTCGATGGAACTAAGTAAATATCCAGGTTTAATGCATATCTTACTTTGTACCAATTATATATGTATGTGTCTTTATATATATATATACATGTAGAATTTAGGGCATGTATGGCATTGCCTTTGTGTAAAGTAAAAGTGTTTTGCAATTTGGAAATTTGCTTAAACTTGTGTTCGGTAACAAAATGAAGTGTTTTTTAAATGGTAAGAGATTTTGATCCAATTGAGCTTTTAGCTAAAGCTCAAACGTGTAGCTTTTCAAACTGCGTTAGCTGTCTAGGTACCAAAATTGAAGGTAACTATTCTATGGACAAGGTTATCCCTTCTATTCTTTCTTAAAGACGAACACCCTTGTTTGTATATTTATCCTACTATAATTGAATGATTCAGATGATTCAGCTAAACCTATCTTAACTTTAGAACCTTTAGGTACTACACTCTTCTCTTCACTATATTTTTCTTACTGTATCAAAATTTGAGTTTTATTTTTACCATCTTATTGGAAATCTCTAGTTTTAATGCATCATTTTAGTTTAGATTATATAGTTGGGGACTAGGCTTTTTGCTTGTCTTTTTCTTTTCTCTGTAATCAATCTTGGGGAAGGAATGGTTCATTGTTTTGAGTCTCAGCCTTCACGAATTTATATAATGTATGTATACACCAGATTCTATACTACTTAAAAGTAGTTCATTTAATCACATAATGATATAATTTCTAAAAGTTCCCTCCTTAAATCAAACAAGCTTTCCTTGGTTTGCTTAATGAATTATACAACATAGTATCTATGCAAGTAAAACTAGGATTTCCTTTGATTTTCAACTCAATTAAACATTACTGTACATTGTAGAGACTGGTTTGCTTTCAATATAATGTTTTCCCTATAGTGAGATAGGTTTTATTCATTGATACAAGGTTTGCTTCCAACTCAAATACTTTTTATACTAATCACATAATTCATTAAAAATAATGAGTTGGAGAAAACTAAAAAAAACTTCAAATAAATAAATAAATAAGAAAAGCAAGTGAAGATTCATCCACAAATTGGT